TGGCTACTGTTTTGTCCTCTCCATGCTAACATAACTACCATAAATGAAAGAATGAATCGATCAATCAATCAATATGTAAATAAATCAGTACTGTATGATAATTGATGAGCTAGTGGTAGCACATTCACAAAAGTCGTGCCGAGTTCCTCGTCTTCCATATTTCGAATCAAATACAGCTTTTGAAATGATACTTTTTGAAGAGAGGGGGAAACTGGGGTTCCGGGGTAAAAAGCTCTTGTAGCAGGGGCGAGAAGAACAAGGGAATGCCTTTTGAGGAATAGGCTGAAGTTGTTTTGAAAATTTTTTCAATGTAAATTTATTAGGTCTACGCGTTTAAGGTAGCCGGCTGTTAAAACAGTACTCATGCTCAGTATTTACCGTTAAATTAATATCCAATACGTTTCGTGACTATTTCTGATCAAATGTTTTCTTGGATAAAGCTGTGTTAAGACAAGTGTTGAGAAGCCTTGATTATGATTCTAAAATGCGTTAACTTTACGCTCGATGAATGACGTTTTTAAAGACGCTCAATGTTTTGTGTCAGCTTCTAGTGTAGCTGTGTTCCTTTAAGAGGCCTGGTCTTTACTGAGTCAAGAATTGAAAAGAGAAGACACTGGATCAGTGAAGATCTAAAATTTAAAATTTTTAGATCATTAAACCAGGTAAGCGGTTGAAAATTATTTCTCCATGCAGGTTATTCAGGCACGTACTCATACACCAAGCATTTTTTTCCGTACTAGATTTGCTTTGTTTTTCGGCGACGAAATCGATATCTTCATATCTTTGGCTTTGTTGTTTACGAATCAACCTGTGGGTCTAACGCTGTAACAGTAATTTTTAACAATTATTCGGTCAGCTATACAAAGTAAAAAATGACTTTCGCTATTTTCCACCCATCCTCAGTGGAAGCTTACGTAGGAAGAAAATGTTGCAAACAAAAGATTACATCTGTAGTTCTCATAGGAGATGAGTTTTAGTAGCTTTAATTCTATTGCTTTGACGAGACAGCAAAACAATCTTTTCAATGCATGGTCACATCATAGGATTTTGTCCTCATACTGAGAACGTTATAACGACATATCTCTACGTACACGTCACCATCATCGGTTTTGGGCGTGACAGTGACTACTCTCATTTCTAAAATCTATAATGTAGGAGAGAGCAGCTAAATTCTCATGTACACGGATCAGGAATAAAGAAGTCCGTTATTATTTTCTATTAGATATCTCCTTCATAAATTTTACCTAAAACTTGCATTACTCTCATCTCCAGTAGAGTTTTATTTCCGAGCCTGCTCGACTGAGCTAGTTGCAAATAACGTGCTACTTACAGAAGGCTTTTTTCTTAAAAAGTTTTCGGTCCGAAACAAGTTCTCAGAGCCTATCATCGCTTTATTAAAGAGGGTAGACTTATTAATGATTCAAATGACGAAAAATGAAATGTTCAGTCACTGTGGCGTGTTTCCAAATCTAGCTGATTAAGATCTCTAATCCGTTTTTCATCTGGTCTTCAATGCAAGTGCTTTTGCATCCTTTTTAAAAGTTCAGGCAAAGTGCGTGTTTGCAAATCTAGCTGACGAAAACTCCTCAATCATTTTGCATCCTTAACTCGAGTGCTTCTGCATCATTTTGTTTGAGATCTTATTTCACTGAATCGAAGAACAACAAAACAATCTTTTATAACAATGTTTTGTTTTAACTTTCTTTTCGGGGTTTTAAAAAGCGAGAAAATAATCTTTAAATCCATGCTTGATCCATCGGTAGGGAAGTGCGAAATAAATTGTGGCAAAAGTACCAATGAATTGTGGGTTTGCCTCGAAGTAAATGAATTCAAAGGTAGATTTCGGGGGGGGGGAGCAAGGTACGTTTTGACGATAAAAAGACGACCTAAAACACATTTCCGACATAGTAACTACTAAAAAAAAACGGGTTTTGCTCACAATCGTTTTGAAACCACCCTGGAAAAAAACTTACGGTGTGGGATTCAGTTTCCTGTCTCACCCCTCCCCCTATATTCTATATCCGATGATAAAAAACGTTTCTATGATTCATTGCAGCGAGTCGATAATCACTGACGTTTAAGTTGTTTGCTTTAAATTATTTCTTCAGGTACGATGATAGTCACGAAAGTTCCCTGGCGAACCGAGCAAGATAGCTGACCTGATTGACAACTGGGCTCTGTTCGTAAAGCTTGCACAGAATGAAGAGTGGAAACCGTCTAGCGTTGACTACTTCTTGTCTCATTGTAAGCTGGAAGGGTGCACTAGCGGGCTGACAAGCTCGAGCCTCGAGAGGTGCAATAGCACCAGTTTCATTGTAGCCAAAGAGTCTGCTTTTCTTCATGGTCAAGACCCAAGCAGCCCAAATAATGCCGTGCCAACATACGTCATTTATCGAGAGCATAACAGTTTCTTGGAGGTCGCCTACTGGATGTTCTTCCCGTATAACTACGGGAAGCTGGTCTGCGTTGGACTTTATAGTGGATGCCCGCCATGCTCGAGAGTTTGGGGCAAGTGTCCCAAAGTTTGCCCACAAGATTGCATTGGAGGATATTCAGCATTTGGGCACCACGTTGGAGACTGGAGTGGGAGAAAGTTTATGTTCGTTTCCAAAAAGTCAACGCCGACTACCAGATCTACTCCATTTACCTGTCGATGCACAACAGCGCGCAATTACAAAAAAGTTTGGTGGTGAGTTTCTCTGGCAAGGTGGTTAGTTTAAGAGGGGAGATAAAACCCTGGCAATGTTTGAAGGTACTCACGCAATAGTCTTCTGTGCCGCAGGCTCACATGGGATGTGGCCGGATACTGGACGACACGAATACCTGAAGCTTTCAAACGGATACGCCCTGGTAGACCAGACCAGCAGCGGTACAAGTTGGTACACATGGGAATATTTGAAGCCTGTCCAGTACGATCCTAGCGGTCAATACAGTGGGGATTTTAAGTTCCTGGGGCCACTGGGAAGACAAGAAACAGCATTGCGGCGTCTTCAACGATATACAAGAGCTCTTTGGAGAGTGTCGGGTTAACAACGGTCCGAAAGGTCCATCTGGCTTCCCCTTTCGATAGAACCTTTGGAACTCTTAGAGTGATTGTTTTGGTTAACAGTATTAAGTTAAATGAAATAATGAAGTATATTAACTAGATTAACCGAGGATCATCCAGGAATAAGAAAAATTGTACTCATTAACTATGAAATAAAGTGTCATCACAAGTGATAAGAGTCTCAGGTCAGTTCCAAGTAAATATGCAGAGAAATTGAAGTTGACTTTTTGGCATTATTAGTCTCGAAGGTAGGGAAGGTGGCACAGAGACGAAAGGATTGAGAACCAGTCTATGCCCGCAAAAGTTCCTGTCCGTTGTTACGGACTTCAAGACCCAACGACGCGTCAAAAAAACAATAGGACGGTTCAATAAGCAAAACAACAACTTCGCACGTGCATCACACTTTTTTGTACATTTCTTTACCGTTTTTGCACGACTACGTCTTGAAAATGCCTAATTTCGCATTTTATGGAGAACGTAAACAGGCAACGACGAAATTTTATTTCTCTTTCTGAAGTTGGATACCCTCCACGGTTCCCTTGGAATTGAACTTCAGGAGGGTTCGCCTACATTTGACAAAGTAAGTACGTAACAATAAGCACGATAAAGACTGAAAGAACGCAAATTCACTCTTTAAGCGACATTCCCGTTGCCGTCGCGTCGTTGGATCTTAAAGTCCCTATGCAGATGAAAAAAAAGTAGCAGATTAAAGATGGCCTTTCTCCGAATCAAGACGTAACTTCAATTTAAATCCAATTGTGTTCCTAGACTGTCTCTCTTCCTTGATATAATATTAACCAGCCAAAGGCCATTTCTGATTCGGTAATACACCTCGAAGCTACTATTGTTGGTTTTCACATGACGTCACTAAAATTCAAATTACAAAACTATCGATCCTACTGGGATTTTACTATCATGATGTATTAGAGCAGCTGAAAACTACTTTTCATACAAATTTTTGCTTCAAAAAGGTTCTTGGTTTTCTGATACAGAACGCTTGAATTTCTAAGCTTTTGCATGAACGGCCAAGAGAGCTGTCATGTAGGTTAAAAAAGTGACTTATTTCGGGGAATTTTGCTATTTATAATGGTAATTGAACTGAGTGGAGTGCAATTTGGTCTGAAATCATACGCGTGATTTCAAAATCTAACGAGCGCGCAGCGCGAGTTCGATTTGAAATCACAAGTATGATTTCAGACCAAAATTGCACGACACGAAGTTCAATTACCAATTTATTACATCCATTTTGAAATCGCAGAATTTAGTCAGTGCTAATATTTTATTGATCAAGTAGCCGGTTTGTTAAAAAGCCGAAACAAAAAGGCTTTTACATCTCATTTTGTATTCGAAACAGAAATGATACGATATAGAACAAAAATGGTGCGATTTAAAACAGAAATGATGCGATTTAGAACATGAATGACGTGATTTGGAACAGATGCGATTTAGAGCAAAAAATGGTGCGATTTAGGAATAAATCACACTGCTGAGAGCCAATCAGATTGCACGGATAGCCAGTGATTTCAAAGTGGATGTAATAAAAATAGTTCATGTAGTAGAAAAAGTATTACTTTAATGTTTATGAGTTCCTCGAGATATAAATTCACGCTTTTGTACCAAAACTCGGTAACAGATGCTTTGTTGGTTGCCGTCCGCCTTGTTGGTGCCCATCAGGTGGGCACCAGCATAGCGTCTCCATACAAATCTCTATAAATTTGGGTAAAACATTTCTTCGGCCGTGATCTCGTATACGGAATATTCTTCTGGACTGAATCTCGGTGAAGGGTCTTTGTATATTTACCTCCTTTCATTTCCCAGATTCTGGAGTATATCTATTGAAGGGTTTTGACTTTTATTTTGATCTATTTTGAATGGTGTGACACTGAAAACAAGCAATAGGGACCTTAAGCAAAGGCGTTTTTGAGCGACGCACGTCAACCGGAAGTGAGGCCTTCTCCCTTTTTATATACCTTGACGCTAACAAACTTGTATTGCTGAGTTTCTTTTCTCTTTTAAAGGCGATTTACCCGAGAGTTTCAACCAAACCACTCCCCAATGATGCAAAAAGTCCACTTCCGGTTGACGTCTGTCGCTCAAAAACGCTGTTGCTTAAGCTCCCTAATATATACGCCACGACGTCACTGAAAGAGAAGAGAATCCTTTACTTAATTTTTGCGCGGTCGAGACAAGAAAGAGCGCCGAGAAACTTGCCTGACGTCACCTCCTCGTACCCAGACGCCTCTCAATCTCAAAGAAAATTTGCACGCAACGGAAGGCGAGAAGGGTAAAAAGGGCGCCCCTCTTTTCTCCTTCCCATGGTTCCTTGCGCTTCGTCACCAGTCACTCACGTTTTGCGATACGCGCTCTCCCACGAAGTGCCTGAGGAGAAGGCAGTGCCCGAGTGATCGTTTCCTCCAGATGGACTCTTCTCCCTTTTTAGCCAGAAAGTGCAAGAAAACAAAGAAGAATCTTCTGGTCAATCACAAGTCAATGCACCCTTCCTAAAAAGATGGCGACTGGTACATTTACTCACAGTTCTTAGCGCATGAAAACCAGAAAATTGCTCATAAAAACGCACAGAAAAGTTTCATAAACTTCAAACCTAGGATAGGCAATGTTGCTATTAAAGGGACGAATTTCGCCCCCCCCCCCCCCCCCAAATATGACTTTATGTGTAATCGACCGTTTAGGTTCGAAAGGAGTTGTGGTAAAATGTACAGCCGCCATCTTTTTGTTTTTTCAGCCACCCCCTTACTTATTAGCGCCTCTTCACATGAGCCCAGTTGATCGGGATGACCCGATTTCATAGATCTCGCTTTAACTCTAAATCTTTTGTGAAATTTTCGATGTGTTCGTATTAGAGGGCGGACTGGTTCGGTTCCCGAGATCTCGGATTTCAGCTCCACTACGCAATACGATATGAATCGGGAAAACCATTACGTTTATTTTGGCTGTGTCGGCCGAGCACCGCAGAATTAGCAATGCGTTATACAATTCCATTTTTTAACATTCAAATACATGGTAGATAAACTAGAACAGAGCTGAGCGACAGTTCACAAAGAATACTGTCAGAACAGAGGCTAGAAAAAACCTGCCGGAAAAAAACCCTAGTAGGGAAAAAACTCAGCAGGAAATCTGGGTAGAATCCATGGCTCATGCTCCGAAAAGCTCATCCTACGAAGGCTACACGACTAGAAGGTTACCGCCCACTATTACTAAGCACTTATTCCAACAAAGCATGGTAAATTCAAAACAAACGAATAAAACGCCCGTAACAATTACGGGTATACGTAAGTGCACTCATAACTTAAGTGAGTTGCATTAAATACCTTACGTGGTCCTCTTAGGGAATTCACTTAAGTGGTTGCACTTACGATTTTCGTAAGTGTTCAATTAAGTGTTGTTTATGCAACCGAAATTGCGGGTTTTGCATAAAACTTTTTTTCCGGGAAAAATAGCAAGTAAATTTACGGGACGTATGTAGGTCCCGTATCCTTACTGTTTTAACTAAAATTAAAAGGATCTATTACACAAACTGACAAGTGAAAAAAAGGCTTTTTCTTTACGTAATTTGTTTTTATGCACTTTATTAACCTCCGATGTATACTTTAAAGCCTTCTTTGAGAAAAAAGAAGAACAATCATTTTTATTAGATATTGAAGTAAAATAACGATTGCATACCAATTTTATTTCAATGAGAGACTTAAAAAAGTGTTCGAAACGACTAGACATTTTCTTAACATCACCAATGGTTAGCTTAAAAAACTAGAATGAGTCATTCTAATAAAGTACTATATATCAAAGTTGTGCGTTCCATGCAACACACGTAAGTGTACCCATAACGGATTCGTAAGTGACCTACTTAAGTGAGCACTTAAGTGCAGGGTTTGTGCAACTGAGGCCAGGATCTTTGGCCTCACCTAGGAAACCGGGCTGAAATTTCTCATACGAACCCAAGGCGAAATTGGTTCCGGCAATCGAGCCAGCACGGTCAACCGCGCTTGTTAAAAAGGTATTCAACACAAGTTTTCAGAGACCCAGCAATGACTATACACTGTTAACTAAAATCCTTTTTTATTTATAAAAATATCTTTAATCACAGAAAGTCTCTTTCATTTGAGTTTTCTATGGTAACAAGCCACAATATTGGACGAAATTTTCAGAATGCATTGCTAAGAACGTGGGCAGTGGCCATCAAACAACAAAAACATAAGTCGCTTGAGTTTTCTGCTGGTAAATTGAACAATATTAAAAAAAAGCTCATTGAAAAAAATTAGGAGCATTGCCTATAGATAATCACTTAATAATTTGATGATAAGTTCTAAGCAAAACAGTGTTCTGGGAAAACTGTTCAAACCACAGGTTTGATACTTGTATACAATAGCATTTATAACCAGGCACCGAACTACATTCGGGAAATGTTTTTACTGCGAAGCAATGGTTACAGCCTACGGGGCCATCTTAAGGTTGTTCTTCCAAGACCGACCTCATCTTATATGCAACATTCTTTCACGTACCAGGCTGGCAAACAATGGAACAGTCTAGCAGACAAAATAAGGATGTCGGAGTCCCTCTCTCTCTTTAGGAAAAACTTACAAAACATACAGTTGTCTTCATCGTATGACTGCAACTGTGAATTTTGTAAATAGACAATCTGATTACCAATATTTTTTTTCTTTTTAAATTATTATTATCTTTTAGTTGGTTTAATTTTTCTATTTCTTATTTTTATTCATTACTCGTACATGTAGATTATGTAAATTATCACGTTGTAATTTTTACGGCACATTTGCATTTAAACGAGCTATCGCTCATATGCGATATGTGGTTAAATAAAATTACTTACTTACTTACTTACTTACAGGTAACCCAGGCTTTGAGATAGTACCACAGTACCAATCCAGTAAAATTACAGTGTTTGTATGGGACAAAAATATGATCCTAAAATTTCTAGGAAATACTAAATAAAGACTAATGAAAACTTACTCTGCAGTTAGTTTTTGTTGTCCTTAATGCTCCAACGAAGTTTCGTGATAATTTGTTCAAATTCACTCACGTTGGAGTATTACAGACAACAACAATTAACGGCAGAGTAAGTTTCATTGATCTTTATTTAGTATTTCCAAGAAATTTTAGGATTGTATTTTTACCCCATACAAACAATGTGATTTTACTGGAACGGTACTGTGGTACTATTACAGAGCCTGGGTTACCTGTGTTCAAACAGTGCTATATAAAACACCGGCCCAGCATCAGCAATTCAGCAAGTGTTATACAAACATAATATAATAAAATAATAATTAATAGAACATTACATGGCCACTGGGAGATATGAAATTTCTCTTCTCACATTAAAAAAAGATATTTCACTCATTCAACAACTTGTGAAATATTTTTCATCAGTCAAAGAGAAAATTCTTATCTCTACAGGGCTAAGTAACATTCTCGCATATTTATTTACATTTAACTTTGTTTCATCTATTGTTTAAACTGTTTGGTTCTTCAAGACACTCCAACTTTAAAATAACTCAGCATCTCTCTTCACAATCATCTAAACATTAACTTTGGTTCAACAAATCAATTTGCTGGTGTTGTTTGATCGGGCCTTTTGCACTAACCAGAAATCAGAACATTTCTAACCTACATCTACAAATGCTGTATTTCCTCGAATAAAAGCTGGGGCGATTATTATTTTTTTCGCACAAAAAGAGGGAGATTATTTGAGGGAGTCGATTATTTCAAATTTTTCCCATTAAAACAAAAAAATGATCACACATGGGCTTTTTCAGTCTTCCAAATTTGGTTCCTTGATTAATTTCCAATGTCAATAACCTCAGCATCAGAGCTTGAATTGTAACTGACCAGTTTTGTTGCATCAGATTCCATTTCAACTCGACAGGTAGGGGATAAAAGAAAGATAAGAAAGTAAGAGGGGTGGGGATTATCAGCCGAAGCCCAACCTCTAGCTCGACCTTAATTACTCTGGATATCACAAAAACCTCATCCAATAATTGTTTAATATTTCCATCTAAAGGAGGCAATAAATTTATTATTCAAGGGAGGCAATTACTTGAGGAACAGCTATAATTCAAGGAAATACAGTACATTCTGTAACGATTTCCCATGACATACATATGGTAAGCCGGAGCTCACAGCATTGGCATAGTAAATAGCAAGGTAGATTGACACAGTAAATAGCATTAGTAAATAGAAAAGAAGATTATACTTATCTATCATAATAATAATTACAATCTAGTTTTCTGTTTACTAATGCTATTTACTATGTCAATCTACTTTGCTATTATAATGATTTTTTATAATGGCTTAAAAAAGAAGCTAGAAAATTGACCATAATGAACAGCTGTTTCATTCTCATTCTCCCTGTTTGTTGATTTATAGTCTTTAAAAGTGAAAGTCACACCATGGCTTTGAATAATGTTGACACCATCACACCCAAAGCAAGTTTCTGGGTAATCCGTTAAACTTTTGACAACATAGTCCGCATTCTTCCTCAAAATAACTGGATCAAAAACAACATCATAGCCACTGATTTCCTCTTCTCTGTATGGCAACAGGACAGATGAAAAAGACATATCTTTCAAAGACAACATTTTTGTACCATTTTTCTTGTCTATGATTTTCAAAGAAAAGAGATAGTCCTTGTTATTTATGCAACCAAAAAAACGAATCCCATGAAGCATGATATCCTTGTCGACCTCTAGAACAATGGCATCAAGAGTGAGGGAATCAGAATCTCCATCATAAGACCAGTGTACTGGTTCACAAATGCAAGACCAAAATCTTGCAAATCTGCTACAAGACCACCTGAAACCTACTCGCTGATCTTCAGGAAAACCTACAGATGTCGACAATGTACCATTAAAATTCCTCATCAATTCTCTTACTTCTGTCTTAGTAAGGATATTTGAGTCAATTACGGTGCTTGTAAAATCTTTCTCCTCCATTACTGGAAAATGTATGTTTTTCACTATTTGCTCTCCAAGGATTCTTCGCTTAACCTTGCCACTTACGAGAACTTCTTGCCTTTTACATTCTTCTGTAGCCCACAAATCAACAGCTCTAAAGAGCTCTACCTCTGGGATTGTCAGTGTGGCTCTCTTGACTATGGCTTCGAGTAACGACTTGTCAATTTTCACAAATTCCTCTGCCTTTACAACTTCTTCAGTTTCGCTTTCAATCATTTCCCAGCAGCGATCCACAAGATTCTGCTCGTCATACTTTTGAGCTTCAGACAGAACACAGAGTACGTTTGCAAGATCTAAATTCCTCATCAGAAACACGACGCATTTTTGGGCAAGAGAGGGCAGGATATATTTCTTCGCGACATACAACACTTGAAGAACATTGCTTGCGCGCAACTCCACCTCGCTGATGTACATGTATCGCAACATTTCCAACATTCCCTCGTATTCACAGTCTGGTAGATAAATGGTGTTAGATTTCTCGGCCATTTCTCCACAGAACATGGCGTAAAAAACTGGACTGTAGATTGACAACACAAACTTGTGCGCTGGAATCACCATCTTGGGTCTTTTCGCATCGTTTTCGCCGCATGACGATCGTATGACGAAGCTGACATCGCTTAGCAGATCGTTATTGAATAAAAAGGTTATCTTCTCCCTTACATGTGATTTTTCATCACCCAGCTGCCCAAAAACAGCCATTGAAACACTAAAAGACACGCGAAAAAGGAAGATTGACTAACGAAATCGAACAGTCACGAAATGGCGGGAATCGGCGGGAAGGTGTTATATTTACGAATATACGGTACAGTTTTTCAGCGGGCTTTCCACCGGCTAGGGATACCTTCATATACGGTACATCAAAAAGCTACTTGGGCAGCACCGCCCCGTCTTCGGAGACACAGGGGCAGATATCAGATAGTAAGGGCGAGAGAACCAGAGTCTAAACGAAAGGAAAAATAATTCTTCGCCCCAATTCCCCCCCGTTTAGAATTTCTCTTGCCCCAACTATCTGCCCTTGGGTCTCTGAGGATGGCACCACCCAGACTCTGTGTCGAGTTACAACTCTACAAAATCTGAAACTCACTTTTCTGAAACGGCTTCCAAATAGCCCCAAAGAGAATATACTCTGCTAGTTCGGGGAAGTGCAGCGGACACCAAAATAGTCGTGGCTAGTGGCTTTGCGGCTAGGTAAATACCCACCCAACACTAGCCACCTTCACTTCAGTGAATACTTGTTATATATAATTTAGTAGAGGAACAAATTAACATGGTTTTCATATGATTGAAAAGAAGTGCCAACCTACCCCACCTGTGTCAGGGGATGACTAAGATGGGTGCTATATCTTATTGTCTTATAAAGTTTAATGTCACCTGTGCCAGGGGATGAGTAAGATGGGTGCTATATCTTATATTGTCTTATAAAGTTTAATGTCGCTCACAGATCTACCTGGTGAAAACAGCCATTTCTCCTTGCTCCTCGCCACTTGGGACGTTTTGCTAGGAGAGACGTCTGCACCTCAGCGACAGAAATTCCATACTGATAACATAAAATCTGTCTGGAATCTGTTCAGAACCTCTGATTGGTTGATGTAGTAGTTGTATGGTTTTAGCTATTGTTTACGAATGACGGACAAAAGGCAAAAGACAACAAAGGTCAAATGCAAATGCAATGAACCTGAAACAAAACAGTCAATATTTGTGGAATATATCCTTTTATAGCTAAAAAAGTATAAGACAAGATGCAAAAATATTTAGATACTGTGATCTAAAATATATATTTTCATATTAATCACTTGACCTTAAATAGAAAAAAAAGGCTCTTTTTGAGTTTTTGTTTTGTGACATTTACCCCTCTGTAGTCTGAATGCGCTTTAGGAAAGTTGACCTTGGGAAGGGGGTTAATATTTGCCCTCTCTTCCAGGAACCTAGCCATGAGTGAGTTGATCACGATAAATTCTACACTTGAGTGATAACTGGAGTGAGAAGTTCTGTGTGATCTTTCCAATTCCAGAAGGGTATGTTTACTGGGCCTGTAGCTGTTCTTTTCAACTTAGTAAGAGCATTCCAGACCTGCCTTTGTGTTATCTCTGGAACTTCCACATGCCCCTTGATAAGCACATCAGTAGGTCTCAGATAACTGTCATCATGGCACAGGCGCCCGAAATAGTTCTTCAGATGGTCCAGGGAGGCATGGTTGAAATTAACACAGGTTGTCCTTGCACGACGCTGTGAAACTAGGTCGACGTTCTTCCACCATACTCAACTACCCATAACACTCACTAGATTTCTTCTGTTTTCCCTGATGGCTTGTGAAATTCTACTGTTTGTGAGTTTTAGTCACTCTCTATTATTGAGCGATATTCTCGTTTTTGCCCTAAGTATGACCGCACAAGGGGGGACATCCACCTGGGATCACAAGATGACATACGGATAGACTTGAGTGGCATACACTTATCCATTAAAGAGCATATTTTGTCTTTCATAATTCTAACTGCAACGTCAACATTGTCCGCTGTGACAACCTCTTGCCAGTCTTGTGCAGCTAAAGCCAGATAGAATGATTGTTTGCGATGTTCTCTACAATCAATCTCAAGTACTTTGGAGAGCGTGGGTTTGAGTTTTGTTCCAGCAGGTAAGACAAATCCCTTGTGATCAGTCTTTATTAACATATGAAGAGGTGTTTCCAAACAAGTCCAGCCTATTGGTTAGGCAGTTATCCAGGCATGCGTTACCTCTCGAGGAAAATCGACCAGAACGTCCCATCCCAACAATGCTTTTAGTTCATGCGTGTCCAATCCACTGACGTCACCACCGCACACAAGAACGGTGTCAGGGTGTTCATCTCTCGATCTTCACAATCATCTTAACATTAACTCTGGTCGAACAAATGCTGGTGTTTTCTGATCGGGCCTTTTTGTACTAACCAGAAATCAGAATATTTCTAACCTATATTTACAAATACCGTATTTCCTTGAATAATAGCTGGGGGCAACTATTACTTTGTTTGCACAAAAAGAGGAAGATCATTCGAGGGAAGGCAATATTATTATTCGAGGGAGAGTCGATTATTTCAAAATTTGCTCACTGGAAGTTATGCCCTACATATTTTGTTTTATTATCCTGTTAAAACAACAACAAAAATGATCACACATGGGCATTTTCAGTGTTCCAAATTTGATTCCTTGATTAATTTCCAATGTCAATAACCTCAGCATCAGAGCTTGAATTGTAACTGACCAGTTTTGTTGCATCAGACTCCATTTCAACTCGACAGGGGGGGATAAAAGAAAGAGAAGAGGGTAAGAGGGGTGGGGGTTATCAGCCAAAGCCCAACCCCTACCTCGACCTTAATTATTCTGGATATCACAAAAACCTCATCCAATGATAATTATTGTTTAACATTTCCATCTAAAAGAGGCAATTATTTGAGGGAGGCGATTACTTGAGGAACAGCTATAATTCAAGGAAATACAGCACATTCTATAACGATTTCCCATTACATACATATGGTGTGCTGGAGCTCACAGCATTGGCATAGTAAATAGCAAAGTAGATTGAGATAGAAAATAGCAATAGTAAATAGAAAAGAAGGTTATAATACTATATTAGTTTTCTGTTTACTAATGCTATTTACTATGTCAATATACTTTGCTGTTATGATGATTAAAGTGGCTTAAAAAAGAAGCTACAAAATTGGCCCGTCTGAACCTCTGTGTCATTCACCCTGTTCTTTGACTTATAGGCTTTAAAAGTGAAAGTCACACTATGGCTTTCAACGATGCTGACACCATCATACCCATAGCAAGGTTCTGGGCCATCCGTTAAACTTCTAACAATAAAGTCCGCATTCATCCTCAAAATAACTGGATCAAAAACCACATCACAGCAACTGATTTTCTCTTCTTTGTATGGCAAAGGGAAAGAAGAAATGAACATATCTTTCAAAGACAACATTTCTGTACCATTTTCCTTGTCTATGATTTTCAAAGAAACAATGTGGTCCATGTTATTTACACAACCAAAGAAACGGATCCCATGAAGCATGACGTCCTTGTCTACTTGTAGAACAATGGCATCAAGAAAGAGAGAATCTGAATCTCCATCATAGGAGCAGTCTCCTGGTTCACAATAGCAAGATGAAAAGCATGCAAATCTGCTACACGACCACCTGAAACCTACTCGCTGATCTTCAGGAAAACCTACAGATGTGGTCAACGTACCACTAAAATTCCTCATCAATTCTCTTTCTTCTGTCCTACTGAGGATATTTGAGTAAATGACGGTGCTTGTAAAATCTTTCTCCTCCATTACTGGAAAATGTATGTTTTTCACTATTTGCTCTCCAAGAATTCTTCGCTTAACCTTACCACTTGCGAGAACCCCTTGCCTTTCACATTCGTCTGTAGCCCACAAATCAACAGCTCTGAACAGCTTTACCTCTGAGATTGTCAATGTGGCTCTCTTGACCATGGCTTCGAGTAAGGACTTGTCAACTTGCACAAATTCCTCCGACTTTACAACTTCTTCAGTTTCATTTTCAATCATTTCCCAGCAGCGATCCACAAGATTCTTCTCGTCAAACTTTTGGGCGTGAGACAGAACACAGAATACGTTTGCAAGATCTAAATTCCTCATCAAAAACTCGACACATTTTTGGGCAAGAGAGGGCAGGATATATTTCTTGGCCACATACAACACCTGAAAAACATTGCTTTCGTGCAACGCCACCTCGTGGCTGTACATGTATCGCAACATTTCCAACATTCCCTCATATTCACAGTCTGGTAGATCAATAGTGTCCGACTTCTCGGCCATTTCTCCACAGAACATGGCGTAAAAAACAGGACTGTAGATGGACAACAGAAACTTGTGTGCCGGAATCGCCATCTTGGTTCTCTTAGCATGCTTTTCGCCGCATGACGATCGTACAACAAAGCCGACATCGCTTAGCAGATCGTTATTGAATAAATAAGTTATCCTCTCCGTTATCTGTGATGTTTCGTCACCCCAATTCTCAACTCTCTCCATTAAAACTCTGAAACGTACCAAGATTCAGCCGGAATTGGCGGGAAAAGGTTCGAGAAATAACAAATGATTTGCGAAATACAATACAGTACTGCTGTCAGCGGCTTTCCGGCGGTGAAGGCCCGGGGGTGAGGGACCGTACACGATCTTGTTCCCACGAAGAAAACTCAAAAATGTAATTAATGAGAAGGGAGGCTCACCTTGCTCGTATTTATGGCGCATAATTTTATAAGCATAATTCAGCAAAACGAGCATTATTTTAAGCTTTTATTTCAGTTTAGCACTGCTAGCATAATCCGAGCTTTTATGCGTTGAAAACAAAAAAAAAACATCATAGCTCTAGAATAATTCAGTTTGTATTTTATTTCTGTATTGTTTTTGGAAAATATTGAGATCTGTGCTAAGGCCCATGGTCAAATATGGTCCGGCAGGCGGCAGAGGTGACCCCGGGCGCGATCCATTCAACCAAAATTCCAACCGGTCCGACCGGGAAAATTGGTCCACCTCAAAAGGTGGACCCGTTTTTTCGAAACTTTTCCGGTTGGACCGAACCGATCCATTGAGTTTTGGACCGAAATTTCCGGAAATTTTGGTTGAACTTCAAGTGCCCCGCGAGAGCTTTAATCTCTAGAGAACGTGTTCCTAAAATTAATGCCGGAAAGTGCAACGAAAGAGGTAACTCAGATCCAAAGAACATGAGTCCTCGTGATCGAATCAAAGAATTCCCAGGGGAAAATTTGTGTCTTCGAGGTGGAAAACTGTTTTACAATGGGTGTAAGGAGATATTGAGCTCTAAAAAGAGCATTCTCAAAAACCACTTGGCTTCCAAAAAACATGCCGCAGGCAAAGAGAAGTTAAAAGTGGCAAAAAAGCGAGATCATGTGCGCACATGCGTATTTGCAATGCTAAAGACTGTAAGGCCCAGTTCAGACGTCGTGCTTCTGCCGTGCCGAACTTAATTGTAATTTGGTTCGACTGTAGCACGGCAGGAAAACAACTTTGATTCAGACGTCGTGCCAGAGTCGAACCAAATTCAGGATTTACTGATGCCTCGTAACAATTCTTCTCCCAGCTCCCCGTGGGAACGCAATCTCGCCAAAATACATTAACATAATTTATGAATTTTGTTTAGCGCGGCAGAAGCACGACGTTTGAATCGCTGCCGTGCCAGAGCCGTGTAGCACGGCAGCGCCTGTCGAACTTAATTGCTTGCCGAACTTAATTCAAAAGTTTGATTCAGACGCCGTGCTTCTGCCGTGCTTTTGTCGAACTTAATTTCTGAATTTAGTTCGGCACGGCAGAAGCACGACGTCTGAACTGGGCCTAAGACTGGAAGGTGGACTATACGAATGTTCATTAAAGTCAAAATTGATAGAGCTAAGCTACTGATGATCTTTATTTTTCTTAAAATCAGTGTAAAATCTAAGTGGCATAATTTCGGTGACAGAGAGCATAATTTTCAGAAAGTAGCATAATTTTGGCATAATTTCTAAAAAAACATGAGCACTGCTAAAAGCAAAATATGCTTTTTTTTCGAGCACAATCTACCAAAGCCTAGGATGTGCCGCTGGGACCCTGGAACCCTTAACCTATACCAGAGCTAGTTCAGCTGAATTTTGCTACTCTATACCAGAGTAAACTCCCCAAATCCCCCCTATCCTAGAGTAGCTGTTTCCCTATTTTAGATAAAATCTTCAACCAACTGATCAGTTTCCTGAAAAATGATACCCAATTCTAGACCCAAACGCCCTGATTTATATACCCTATCCTAGAGTAAACTGCTTGAAAACCATACCCTTCACGGCGGCACATACATATATAGCCCATATATGGCAGTACCCCTCCCCCCCCGGGGGGGGCAGACACATTATTTCAGGCTACACACGTGACCAGCCTGGGCCGCCTATGGACGTATCTATCCATCCTCGGATACCCGGGAAGTATGGAATTTCTTTGGCTTATAGGGGCCCATTTTCACTGAAAACTTTCCTCGAAGAAAACTCTTCTGCACAAGCCAGACAGTTACGGCGAACAATCGAGTTTGCGGGTAAACACTTCGGATACGGAAGATCACGAAAGCAGCGCGATAGATGCTGGCCTCCTGTTGTGACCGATCACTGGCCATGGCAAGCGTTCGAATGAGCCGTGGAACTGGTTTGTTAAGACTAGCATCCCAGGGGCTCTCTCACCCGTTCTTGAAAACTTTTGCCGCAGTTTTTCCAGACCCAACTGACCGCCCCTGGGTCTGCGAGGATGGTATCTATCCGGATTTTTTAAAACGTTACCTCCAAATAGACCTCTTTTTTTAAAAAAAAAAAATCAATCAATCAATCATTTATTTTAACACGTTACGTCAAAGAGCTAAAAAACTCGTTCAAAATACGAACGTGTATATATAAAATCTATAATAATTACAGCTACATAATATAACTCAATTTTAAAAACAACTCAATAAATATATACATATAAAAAACTTCCTTCAGACAGTTTTTTTCTCCCGGCCAAAGGCAAAGTAGATTAAAAAGAAGCGACTTTTTAAAGCATTTAGCGATAAAAAAGTTGCGTAAAAACTTTTCTTAAAAACACTTTTCAGTATTGAAGAAATTTTTAAAAAAGTTAAAAAATATACGACGTTTCGACGTTCTGGACGTCATTATCAGGTAAAAAATATATACAGTACGAATGTTCTGTAAATACCTAAACTAAACACTCACGGCGAAGTGTTTTTATGCTTGGCACAAAGCATTCTGGTAACCACGTACCTGAGACTCGGTAAAAGTATCACATCCAGTCAGATGTGATTGCCGGGTGTGACTCAGCCACGCTGCGCAGAAGTCCGCGTTTTCGATCAGTTGCTATTTTATATCTTTCAGCAGGCCTTGTACTACCCTGGTCCAAGAGGTTTTTCTTGATTTTTCTTCGCGAAAGAGATCAAGAGGAAGCCGCGAAGCGGCGACAACGAGTCGCAAAAGCGACGAGGAGAGAGAGAAAAACCTCTGGTTACCTTGGCCTCGAATCTCACTTTCATGCAGACGACAGGGTCGGGATCTGACCCTCGGGCGTTGATTCGTTGATAGTTTTTCAAACACGCAAACCAATTTGATTGGCTCGTTTAATTGTAACTACCGAGGGGACGCTGAGGATTTTCACACCTCATTTTGCCTCTCTCTACTAGGGAAGAAAATTGTTTGTATGCTGCACTCGCAATAACATTTGCACGGGACCAAGGCACGTAAAGGCACGCCATCATGTTCGAGATTTTGACATGGATGTTGTTCCTGAAAGAATATTCGAATAAATTTTGACCTCGGTACTTAATGAGCGCTTTCCTGAGTCTCCCTGAACAACAAAAGAAAGCCTTGTTCGCTGCGTTGAGTCGAAAGGATGTGTTTACTATTTTATCAAACGGACATGGAAAGTATATTTTCTGTTACAATACTGTCATTCCATTAAATAAACTAACTTGTTTAGGGCTGCAAAATAAAAAATCTCCGAATACGGAATGAAAGTTTCCTTGTAGGAAAAAAAACATACAACTTTGTACAACTACGTAAACATTTTCGGTGCAGCTTGATTTTCCTGTGACGCCCAAAAAAGATCTAACCAACGTTATTTTTGGCATAGACCTATTCGGCAAACTCAATGTTGTACCCAATTCAAATCTCCCGGGAATAAGATTCTTTGTGTATTGCATTTGCATTATAATGTGGCATTCACATTTAAATGATATGGAAATTCCTGAAACAAAACGTTTTATTCCCAAAGGGTTTGAATTGGGTACAACATTGAGTTAGCCGAATAGGTCTATTGGGTCAACAAAAACCTCTGAAAGTACATTCCGAACATTAAGGGTTTGTTGTGCTGCATGACTCTTCCTAGCGTCGTTGTTCCACAAAAAAAGGAAATGGAGCCGCCAAACCAAAATGCGAGCCAGATTGCCAGAATACATATTAATATTACTATTTTGAGGGGAATGCCCGCGAATCGACGCGAACGGCGCGCCCCGCAGAAGTAAACAATGCAATAAGCGCGATTGATAGACTCTTGCAAACTTTACAACTTCCCGCTGGCATACTGCCGACAGAACAGATGACAATGTTTGTGAAAAATCCTTGTTATTATACCCAAAAAAGTTGATTTTAGATCGGCCACTTACTTTTACATAAATTCTGCAAATCCTGCAGCAGTCTTTTGGAACAATGTTGGTTTCTTTATAAAGTGGTCTCCTTATTCCTGGACTCTCGTCGCCCATCGTTAACACATACTTTAGCTTGACCCCGATTAACAAATCACTCTTTACCACCCAAGTGGAGATGGTTTGTTCATAACATAATTTCCCCAGGTCTACCCCTACTTAAAAAAATAGCGGCTGATAAGCACGTGTTTGCTAAGTTGCCATTGGTCACTCCTTTTATTGGCAATTTGACGCGTTTGACAGCTGTCGTCTGCATGAAAGTGAGATTCGAGGCCAAGGTAACCAGAGGTTTTTCTCTCTCTCCTCGTCGCTTTCGCAACTCGTTGTCGCCGCTTTCGCGACCCGTTGTCGCCGCTTGGCGGCTTCCTCTTGATCTCTTTCGCGAAGAAAAATCAAGAAAAACCTCTGGGACCAGGGTAGCCTTGTACCACAATACCCTATTTCGCACAATAAACCAATCCTAAATTTGAGTTGAAAAGGGTAGATTCTAGGTACGGTTAAACAAGAAATAGTTTTGATATTAAAAAGTAAGGACAGAGCAGGGGCGGATCTGGGGGGAGGGTTCAGGGGGTGCGCACCCCCCCTTCCCAAGAAGACCTGCGGTTTTCTAATACAACTGGCATTCTGCAAAAAAAAAAAACTATGTGGTTTATTGGTGTTGAAGCAGAGCAAGAGACGAGTGCACCCCCTCCTATAAACAAATCCTGGATCCGCCCCTGCAGAGGGCGTTATTTTCAGGCTGCCAAAC